CCATCACCCATCACCCCCCTCCCCCATCCCTTCCCCCCCTCGCCCAAACACCTGGATCCCTTTGATGGGTCACACCATGGACACCTGGGTCCACCTTGGGGGGGTTCTTTGGGTTGGAACTGGTGGGTCATACTGGGAGGAGGAGGAGGAGGTGGGTTCCAGCAGCCACCTCCCGGTGTCCCCAACCCCCGTCTCGTGTCCCCACGTGTGTGTGTGTGTGTGTGTCCCCCCCCCGTCACCTCGCAGTGTGACCCCGGCCAGGCCACCAAGTACCTCTACGAGCTTCTCTACAACGACCCCATCAAGATCATCCTCATGCCCGGTTGTAGCAGCGTCTCCACGCTGGTGGCCGAGGCCGCCCGGATGTGGAACCTCATCGTGGTGAGGAACCACCTCCTCGTCCCTTGGGGGGTTGTCCCCTGGGGGTTGTCCCCAAGGTCACGGGGGTCCTGGGGGAGAGGGGTGTGGAAGCTGGTGGACTCCCCTCCTTCACCCCAACCACGTTGGGGCACGTTGGGTTGGGTGGAGACCAAGGTGGGGATGGTGGGGATGGGCTGTGCTTGGAGCGACGGTGCCTCTTGGGGTGTACTGGGACGGGGTGTTGGTTGGGTGGTGTCTCGGTGTCCTGGGGGGTGGTTGTGGGGCGGTTGTGGGGTGGTAGGTGCCTGGGGGGAGCGGGGTGTGCGGCAGTGGGGAACGCAGGGCTGTAGCTACGGTTGTTGCTGGGGGTGTGGCCGTGTCCTGTTGTGTCTATGGGCAAATATGGCTGTTGCTGCGTGGGCAACTGGTGATGTGTGTGTGGTTGTTGCTTTCAGGTTGTTGCGACGTCTGCGACTGTTGGGGGGCGTGTGTGCTTGTTGCTACAAGTGTGGCTTTTGCTTTCAGGGTGTTGTTACTTGTGGGGTTGTTGCTGCCCGTGTGGCTGTTGCTACAAGTGTGGCCGACCTTTCAGGTTGTTGCAACGTGTGCGACTGTTGGTACGTGTGTGGTTGTTGCTTTGTGTGTGGCTCTTGTTTTCAGGGTGTTGCTGCCTGTGTGGTTGTTGCTGCCTGTGTGGTTGTTGCTGCCTGTGCATCCATTGCTCTGTGTGTGACTGTTGCTTACAGGCTTTTGCTACGGGTGCGACTGTTGGGGTGTGTGGTTGTTGTTCTGTGTGTGGCTGTTGCTTGAAGGCTTTTGCTACGGGTGTGAATGTTGGGGGTGTGTGGTTGTTGCTCTGTGTGCGGCTGTTGCTTACAATCTTTTGCTACAGGTGCGACTGTTGGGGTGTGTGGTGGTTGTTCTGTGTGCGGCTGTTGCTTTCAGGTTGTTGCTGCACGTCTGGTGCTTTGTGCGACTGTTGGTACGTGTGTGGTTGTTGCTTTGTGTGTGGCTCTTGTTTTCAGGGTGTTGCTGCCTGTGTGGTTGTTGCTGCCTGTGTGGTTGTTGCTGCCTGTGCATCCATTGCTCTGTGTGTGACTGTTGCTTACAGGCTTTTGCTACGGGTGCGACTGTTGGGGTGTGTGGTTGTTGTTCTGTGTGTGGCTGTTGCTTGAAGGCTTTTGCTACGGGTGTGAATGTTGGGGGTGTGTGGTTGTTGCTCTGTGTGCGGCTGTTGCTTACAATCTTTTGCTACAGGTGCGACTGTTGGGGTGTGTGGTGGTTGTTCTGTGTGCGGCTGTTGCTTTCAGGTTGTTGCTACGGGTGCGACTGTTGGGGTGTGTGGTTGTTGTTCTGTGTGTGGCTGTTGCTTGAAGGCTTTTGCTACGGGTGTGAATGTTGGGGGTGTGTGGTTGTTGCTCTGTGTGCGGCTGTTGCTTACAATCTTTTGCTACAGGTGCGACTGTTGGGGTGTGTGGTTGTTGTCCTGTGTGCGGCTGTTGTCCTGTGTGTGGCTGTTGCTTTCAGGTTGTTGCTGCACGGCTGGTGGTTACTTCCTGTGCGACTGTTGCTTTCAGGTTGTTGCTACGGGTGCGACTGTTGGGGTGTGTGGTTGTTGCTCTGTGTGCGGCTGTTGCTTACAATCTTTTGCTACAGGTGCGACTGTTGGGGTGTGTGGTGGTTGTCCTGTGTGCGGCTGTTGTCCTGTGTGTGGCTGTTGCTTTCAGGTTGTTGCTGCACGGCTGGTGGTTACTTCCTGTGCGACTGTTGCTTTCAGGTTGTTGGTACTTGTGCGATTGTTGCTTTCAAGGTGTTGCTACTTGTGCAGTTGTCGCTACCTGTGGGGTTGCTCCTCCGTGTGTGGTTGTTGCTACCCGTAGGATTGTTGCTGTCAGGTTGTTGCTACCCCTCTCAGGTTGTTGCTGTCAGGTTGTTGCTACCTGCTTTCAGGTTGTTGCTGCACGGCTGGTGGTTACTTCCTGTGCGACTGTTGCTTTCAGGTTGTTGGTACTTGTGCGATTGTTGCTTTCAAGGTGTTGCTACTTGTGCAGTTGTCGCTACCTGTGGGGTTGCTCCTCCGTGTGTGGTTGTTGCTACCCGTAGGATTGTTGCTGTCAGGTTGTTGCTACCCCCGTGGCTGTCGCTACACCCATAGCCACGCCAGGACGGTTGTCACCGGCCGTACGGCTGTTTTGACACACCCCGGTGTTGCGGCGCGTCCGGCTGTAGCCACGCGTGGGGCTGTTGTCGGTGGCGCACGGTTGTACCCACATCTGTGCGACTGTTGCTTTCAGGTTGTTGGTACGTGTGCGATTGTTGCTTTCAAGGTGTTGCTACTTGTGCAGTTGTTGCTACCTGTGGGGTTGCTCCTACGTGTGTGGTTGTTGCTACCCGTAGGATTGTTGCTGTCAGGTTGTTGCTACCCCTCTCAGGTTGTTGCTGTCAGGTTGTTGCTACCCGTACAGTTGTTGCTGTCAGGTTGTTGCTACCCCCGTGGCTGTCGCTACACCCATAGCCACGCCAGGACGGTTGTCACCGGCCGTACGGCTGTTTTGACACACCCCGGTGTTGCGGCGCGTCCGGCTGTAGCCACGCGTGGGGCTGTTGTCGGTGGCGCACGGTTGTACCCACACCCACCACCATTCCCAGCCCACGCAGCCACCCGCGGTCTCCTCGAGGGGTCGCCGATGGGCTACAGGCAGCCGTAGGGGTGTTGTGGGGCGCGGGGACGCCTGTTGGGTGTTGACGCACAACCCCCCTGCCCCACGTTACAGCTCTCCTACGGGTCCAGCTCCCCCGCCCTCTCCAACCGCCAGCGCTTCCCCACCTTCTTCCGCACCCACCCCTCGGCCACCCTGCACAACCCCACCCGCGTCCAGCTCTTCAAGAAGTGGGGCTGGACCAAGATCGCCACCATCCAGCAGACCACGGAGGTCTTCACCTCGGTACGCACCGCCGGCAACCCCCCCACACCCCCTACCATCACCACCACCTGCCGCTGTCAACCCCCATCCCACCCCACCCCAAATCTCTGCCCCACAACCTCTCGCCGCCCTCCCCCCTCCCATC